AGTAGCAGTCAGATTAGACTTTGATTTGTTGTTTTTTCAAGGCCTTTTATTTGCCTGCTGGCCGTGCTAGGTGCCATATTCTTCTAGTCCCCTCAGAGGCATAACCCACTTGTCTGTCTGTCTGTCTCTCTTCTGAGAGGAATGTGGGGGCTCCTCTTAGCCAGGATGTTCTGTTTTGGAGGTAGTGGTAAAAGGTTAGCAGGTTTTTTTTTTTTTTTTTTTTTTTGCTGTACACGGGCCTCTCACTGTTGTGGCCTCTCCTGTTGCGCAGCACAGGCTCCGGACGCACAGGCTTAGCAGCCATGGCTCACGGGCCCAGCCGCTGTGGGATCTTCCCGGACCGGGGCACGAACCCGTTTCCCCTGCGTCAGCAGGCGGACTCTCAACCACTGCGCCACCAGGGGAGCCCAAAGGTTAGCAGTTCTTATTCCAGTAGCCCCAGATAAGTCTCCTGGGCAGATGCTGTGTGAGGGCTGGTTTTCTGTTTGGCTGCACCTCCCAGATAAAGCCAGTGAGAAAAATCAAGGAACAAAAGAATCTCCCATTGATAGAGCCGCCCAAGGCCAAGACTTGGCATTTGTAGACATTCTGTGTACAGAGGACATTATTCTTCTTTTCCTCCCTTTCTCCCTTCCTGATGTCCCCACCCAGAACACTCTCTACTGTTCTTTCCACCCACGAGGCAGGGTGGTGTAACAGAGAGCCAGGCAGACCTGGGTTTTAATGCTGACGCTACCACTTGGGAGCTCTGAGACTGTAGGAAAGGTGACTAACCTACTCTTTGAGCCATTGTTTTCCCATCTCCAAATAAGCACCTCTACATTGTAGAATTAAGGGAGAAAATGCTTGGTAAGCTCCCAGTCTAGTCCTTGTTACACAGAAGATGCACAAACACAAGCTTCCTGCTCCGCTTTCTTCTTTCCCCAGCCTTCTTTCACTACCAATTTTGAGAGATTTACAGGCAAAACACCCGGTGGCCTCCCTGGGGAAAATGAGCTGAATGTGGGTATGGTAGCCAAAGCTAGCCTTGGGTGGGTATTTGGGAACAAACTGTCAGTTTCCTGTGAGCTCCTGGTGAGATCAAAGCCGTTAAACCTAGCTCTCAAGTAGGAGAGGCTGAGAAGGTCATAAATGGCAGTGAGCGGCAGCTCTGGCTACTGTTGATCCCACACATTTCTCGGCTGTTGAATGCTGCTGCCTGCTGCCCACAGGGAACAAAGCCTCTTCCCCCGGCTGGTGGACTTGCACGTGGCGACCCTTCAACTGAAACGCTTTTCTTGGGGACCCCTCTTGATCTCTAAACTGTTGAGTGGGGTGCGTTTTCCCCACACTTGCTTCTACCACTCCCTCCTTTCCTCCACCACTACAGTCTCAATCAGGCACGTTCTACATTCAAGAAATTCAATCATTTCTGAGCTGATAACTTTCTAGCAGGCACACCCACACCCCGCTGATAGGCCAAGAAACCTGCACATAAACTTGAAGTGCATAAGTGAGCTGTGTTTTACAGCGGTTGATCAGAGTTAAGAGCCAAGAAAATAACTGCTGAAGCCTGTAATCCTCCCAATGAAAGGAGGAGGGGAAAATAGGACTTGTGGGGTTGGAGGTCCCATGAGGGAGCCCATCCCTGTCTCTGAGCAGATGTGTCAGTGCTTTTTGTATGCTGGGGGCTGGGGATACCCTGACAGGATGCTTACAGACTGGGGACACAAGCAGGAGCACAATAACCAGAACATGAGGTGACACAGCCCAGAGGAGAAAGACACTGGTGGGCAGAGAGGCTGCACGGAGGAAACAGCATTCCAGCTAGACGGTGAAGGGCGCGCAGGGCTTAGGAACTACTCTCACCTCAGCCAGAAAATCCTGTGAATCAGGGTTGAAGTTTAATTGCCTCAAAACAAAGTAATACAGAGAGAGTGGACATTTCCCCATCAGCCCCATCTGAATGTTTTAAATTGTATAATGGCCCAATTTTGCCTTGGACAAAAGAAAACACCTCCGCTCCTGGGCAGCTCTTTTCCTGTTTTCTTTAAATAGTAGCTGACACTCCTATCTGTGTAATGGGTCAAACAGTGGGATTGCTCAAAGAATGTAGTGTCCTATTTCCGTCCTGTTCTGACAAGTCTCCTTGTCCTCTGTGGTCACCAAGCTAGTGCGTGTCAAGCTAAAATCCTGTCTCTAAGCAGATTTTGAATCTGAGTGGTTCTTACTTAGTGGGCCGTGGCTAGTGCACGGTCTGACCATTCCACTGCTCGGACTCTGCTGAGATTTGCGCAGAGCTGGTGAAAGCCACGGGGCCACGACGACCCCCATCCCCATCCTACAAGGCATTCTCCTCCGTTCTGGAGCTGAGCCCTCACACTTGGGTGTTTATTTTCACACGTAGTCATACCCATGGTGGCACTGGCACTGGTGTGCTTGTTTTTACACTCCCTTACTGCTGTGGAAAGCCCTGTCTGAGATTCTAGGCTGTGGATTCCATCCTCCCCACCCAACTGAGTGTTAAATAGTTTTTGAGTGAGCATTCAGAGTGCCTAGAAGTTACTGTGATTAGCAGAAAACTGTGTTTTCATCCCTCTTGGTGACCGATAAAGAATCCTCCTGTGAACAGAATCAGCTTCAGATCTCCAGCTAGAGAGTTGGGAATTGAGCTGCCACAGTAAACAGCTGACATAACAGAAGCAGCAATGATCCCCCATTAAATGTCTTTCAGCTGATAGGGGCCCCAGGGATAATTGACTTTCCAGCAG